CTAATATTCTTTTAATGCACTGATCTCTGATTTTCTGTTTTATTGACATTCCCAACATTAGCACTATGGTTTGGTGAACTATATACCACCCCAACTAATGTCTTTTGTTCCTAGATATTTCTCAATTCTACCTATACACATTCTAATTTTTCTGAGCTAATATCGTTCCTTAATACTGTGCTTATTTTCTCTTTAACCTGTAATGAAACTCTACCACCTTATCCTTTTTATCTGTCCTTCCTACTGAATACCCCCAGATGTTTAATTCCCACCCTAGAGACCCTGCAGCCATGTTTCCGTAATCCCAACTATGTCATATCCGTTTATATCTATTTGTGCGATTAATTCATTAACTTTATTTTGAATGCTCTATGTGTTGAGGCACAAAACTTTATGGCTTGTCTGTTTAAAGCCCCATTCCCATGATTCTTTATTGTAGCCTTGTTTGATTCTGGCCTTTGATTCATCTGCCTATCACTTTCTCTTATTTCCCCTTCATTTGTTCTTGTCCTTGATTCCCCTTCCTCTATCTCCTTGCAAAGGTTCTCATCCATCTGCCAATTTAAATCTTCACCAGTCACTCTTACAAATACTTCCCAGAAAGCATGAGTCCCAGTTCTGCCCAAGTATAACCCTTAAAGGTTGCATTGGTCCCACCTCTCCCAGAACCAGTTCCAATGCCCCAGGAATCTGAAACTCTCCCCCTAAACCATCTCTTTAGCCACGTGTTCATCCAATATATCCTGCTATTTCTACTTTGACTAGCACATCGCACTGGTACTAATCCAGAGATCATTATCTTTGAGGTCCTACTTTTTAATCTTGCTTCCCAACTCCCTATATTCTGCTTTTAGAATCTCATCCTTTTTGTTTTATCCATGTCATTGGTACCAATGCACCACCCAGGTGCATAACAGCCTGGTACACTAACTGCTCTGCCCAGGACCATAAGAAACTACAGAAGGTTATGTCCACAGCCCAGGCCATCACGAGAGCCAACCTTCCATCCATAGACTCCATTTACAATTCTTGTTGCCGCTGAAAGACCTCTCCCATCCAGGTAATGTTCTCTTACAACCTCTTCCGTCAGTCAGATGATACAGAGGCTTGAACACATGTGCTAAGACGTTCAAGAACAGCTTCTTCCCTGCCACCATTAGATTGCTGAATGGACTTCTCTAACTTCAAATGATGTTGATATTGCTAATGTTGATCTTGCTTTGCACACCTCCTGTGTAGTGCAACCTGTATGCCTCGCTCTGCCTAAGCACCTCATGATCCGTATGTCCTTGTTTGCTACGATCTGCCTGTTCTGCTCACAAAACAAAGCTTTTTGCATACTTAGGTACATGTGACTACAATAAATCAAATCAACGTGTACATATCCACTGGCTATTCACCCTCGACCCCCAGGATGTCCTGTTGTCTGAGATATCTTGACCCTCGCACCAGGAAGGCCATATACCATCCTGAAGTCTCATTTGTAGCCACAGAAATGTTCGTCTATTCCCCTACAATTGAATCCGTTATGCTTATTGCACTCCCACACTTTTGGCTTCTCCCCCGTTCTACAGAGCCAACTGTGGTGCCAGAAATTCAGCTGTTCTTTTTTCCCTTGAAAGTCCATTTGCCCCTTAAAAATATCTAAAATGCTATGTCTGCTTTTCAGGTGACTGGCCACCGGGGATTCCCGCACTGCCTGTCTAGTCCTCTTACTCTGCCTGGTGGTCACCCATTCCTTTTCTACCTGGAGAGTCTCACTCTATTGAGTGACCAACTGGCTATATGTACTATGCATGATTCTCTCAGCTTTGCAGAAGTCCCACAGAGTCCTGATCCACCATTCCAGCTCCAAAACTCAGGCTTCCAGAAGCTGCAACTGGAGACATTTCCTGCACATGTACTGGTCCCAGGCAGTGGAAATGTGCCCAGGTTTCCACACAGAACAACAGAAGCACCCACAGTTTTGAGTTCCCCTGCCATGACTTAGCCCTTTAAATTTAATCTTTTGAAAGACGTTCAATATTAAATAGTATCAATTTCTGTACAGCCCTTCTTACAATAGGATACAGCCCTCAGAATCTATACAGCATAAACCTTACAAACTATAATTGAACATTTACCATCTTCGTCACCTTCTCCAAAACCACCTCCTCCTGCAATGAGTTATTTAATTGTCCACCACCATTGATGATCAGATGTGGCAGGACTACAGAGCTAAGATCTGATCCGTTGATTGTGGGATCACTTAGCTCTAGCATTAACTTGCTACTTTTGCTCTTTGGCATGCAGATGGACTTGTTTGGTGGCTTCATCAGGTTGACACCTCATCTTCAGGTATGCTTTGTGCTGCCCCTGGCGTGCCCTCCCGATACGCTCCATTGAACCAGGGTTGACCCCCTGTCTTTACGGTAATGGTTGACGGGGGATATGCTGGCCCATCGGGTTGCAGATTGTGCTCATCTAAAATTCTGCTGCTATTGATGGCCCACAGCACCTCATGGATGCCCAATCTCGGGTTGTTAGATCTGTTCGAAGTCTGTCCCATGTAGCACAATGATAGTGCCACACAACATGATGGAGGCTATACTCAATGTGAAAGCAGGATTTCATCTCCACAAGGACTGTGCGGCAGTCACTCTTCTTGATACCGTCACAGGTAGATACTAATCTGCCTACTGCAGATGCAAAGATGAGGTCAAGCAGGTTTTTCCCTCACCACTGGCTGCAGACCCAGTCGAGCAGCTCTGTTCTTTAAAACGTGATCAGCTCGATCAGTAAGTGCTCCTGCTGAACCACTCTTTGTGGTGACATTGAAATCTCCCACAGAGTACATTTTGCGTCTTTGCCACCCTCAATGCATCCTCTGTGTTGTTTAACATGGAAGCATGACAGGACATAATTGAAAATGCAAATGTAACCCATTAGGTCAGTGAGTGATTGTGTACTGCATTTTCATGACATTCAATGCACATTTATTATTTTCCTCATCATGTTTTAATACCTGGGTGAGCATCCAAATACATTTCCCTTGCAGGCTAATTTCTTTTGATTATATGTGAATAATTCTTATAATTAAAGACAATATTTTTGCCAAATTACTTGTTTAATAGAAGATTCAAGATGCCATCATTAATATCCTGTGTATTTAAAACATAAAAGAATCCAGCCAGGAAACATTCTGGAATAGTTCAGAATAATACAAACATCTCCTGTAACAAATACATGCGTTACTTCAAGCATCTACATATTTCTGGCCAGTATTTGAAGAATGCAAACATGAAAAGAGGTATTCAGCCTTTATTCTTTATTCATTCATGGGATGAGGGCATCACTGGCTAGGCAGCATTTATTGACCAGTGGGCAGTTAAGAGTCAACCACATTGCTGCGGGTCTGGAGTCACATGTAGGCCAGGATGGCAGTTTCCTTCCCTAAAGGGCATTAGTGAACCAGGTGGGTTTTTCCCAACAATCGACAATGGATTCAAGGTCATCATTAGACTCTTAATTCCAGATATTTATTGAATTCAAATTCCACCATCTGCCACGGTGGGATTCAAACATTCCTGGGAGCCGTGTTATCTGGGTCTCTGGATTAACAGTTCAGCAATAATACCACTAGGCCATTTCCTCCTATCAGATTGATGTTGCTCAATGTATCCCACAGTTAATTCTTTTTAAACGAAGGAACAACTAGTTTTTGCAACTTGGAAGACATCTTTAACAGACACCCTAAAAATCTGGCTTTCCACTGGGGTAAAGGTATAATCAATACAAATTCAAACGATATGGCAAGTGCATCAGTGGCCTGCTTCCTGAAATAAATTGCAAATTTTGCATCATTGTGCATAAACAGCAGTACAATTAGAGGTTGAATCTATTGCTATTGATATGACAGAATCACTGAATACTGGCGTATGGATTTCCTGAGGCGTGGCAATCTGCATGATTGCATAATCTGGCCCTTTTCAAAAAAAAACGGAGTTCTACATTTCTGGGAGGAGATTCTGGTCAGGGCTCCCTCAGAAATGTGGAGCCTAACTTCTGAACTGACAGCTCTTAAGAAGTGCACAAAAATTGGAGAAATGCAAACCATATGCTCTTTTCACAGCAGTCAGCTGTCACATTCTGATATTTAAAGATCCTGCCAGCCATTTTGACAGCAAATGCTAAGTATACAGCTAAATGTGAATTGACAGTGTTGGGATAGTTGGGTGGCAGGTAAGTAGGGTGTTAGGTGAACGTGTTGTCAGTGAGCCAGCTAAGTAAAGTGCCTCAGGTAGGATGCCATATAGATAGAGGTAGGGTGGCAGGTGGGTTGGATACCATGGGTAGGGCACCTGATTGCAAGATGGCAAGTGGGAACAAATACATGATGCAATGTTGAGTAGGTCAGGGGAGTGGGAAAATTTGAATTCGGCATAGGATGGGAGGGTGGTATCCGATGTGTTTGCATATGGCAATGGGGTGAGGTCATGTGGAGTGCGGGGGAGGTGTGTGTTTGAATGTGCCATGGGGAGGATGTTGAATTGAATCTCGCAGCAGGATGCAGTCTGGTCGTGTCCGGCAGAGTGGTGAGGCTTCCGGACTGGTGGGGTGGGAGGGAGGATTAGGTGCAGACTGTGGAAAGGAGAGCATAGCCATAATACCATCGAGAAGGATAGTAGATATACAAGGTCAGTGCAACCTGCAGGTTCCTCTCCAAGTCATTCACCTTGACTAGCAAATATATTGCTGTTCATTCGGTCAATAATCCTGAAACTTCGGGTCTACTGACACCAAATAAGCAGCAGCAGTAAGAAGCAACTCACACCAACAACTCAAGGACAGCTGGGCATGCTGATCATGCCAATGAAGCCCACGAGGGAAAGAAATGTAGCCTGATACTATAGTTCTCCTTCAAGCTACACAATACACCTAAAGAACTCACAATCCTCCAAGTCATTTATTAAAAGAAGTGAATCAATTTTGAATGTTTTATTAAAGACAGGTTGCACATTTTAGAAAAGGAATCCCAGGATCTTTCCTCCCGTGTGTTTTCGTTTGGCCTCTTCATGGTCTATGATCCCTGCTGAGGTCGTTAGAATGAGGTACCCAAACTGATGTAAAGGCAGGAGGCCATTTTTCCACCTTTCGAGCTCTTTTACTTGAACATCAAACCTGGGGCTAATAACACCACACGTGTTCAGTCTGTCAGTGAGATTGACAACTGTTTTCCCACTTCTGTGGTCATCAATAATCTCAAACTCTCCAATGTAGTCATGCTTCATCATTACAGTTAAGAATCTCTCAATCACTTTGGAGCATGGCCGGATGAGAACCTGGTGTTTTCCACGTTTCTCTGTATTGTTGATGCTAGGAAGGACATCAGTGAGAACATTCATGTGCACCATGATGCTGCTTGGTCAATATGGCAAAAGTGCTGGATCAATTTTGAATACTGAATGTTTGTCAATCTACTATAAATGAGAACCCAATCTCCCAATTCAAGTAGCTTCGAACTAGATTGAGATTAAATTAATGTCGGTAACTCAATTACAGCCTTCCATCATTCTCTACACATTCTTCTTACTTTATATAAGGCTTTACTCATGCAATCTTGCTGTCATGAATGTTGTCTGTCCTGATTTATCATTTATACTTAACAACTTTTATTTAAATAAAACTCATCCAATTTTATGAACAGAGCTAGTATTCTACTGTAATTCAATCACTGCAATATTTCAAGTATTATCCTTATAAATGATTCACTTTCAAAGAATTTTTCATCATTACCAACTTTTTTCATGTCTCTGAATGCATTGCAATACTATGACTTGGCTAGTCCTACTGCTATTTGTGAACTTACCACTTGGGGGCACATTGGGACAACTGCCATTGAATTCACCTTCACACACTGGACAAATGTTTTGATTTGATGGGTGAGATGGGAACACTATTTGTTGCATTTCAAACAGGAACATTTGTACAGACTGGTCCACGAACAGCAAAACCATGCAGCACTGATGATGTCACTTGAACAATCAAATATTTCTGACTGCTTCAAAACTGAGAAATACTTGATTAGATACATATTTGCAAATTGTAAACTTACTGAAAAAAATTTTTGAAAGGGCTCTGCACAAATTCCTACATCGGAAATACTGACATATTTTGGTACTAAAATTCAGGACATTTAGCAGGTGTAGAAATCCCATGAGAAAAAAAAACCCTGATGCCTTAATCAAGCACAACGTAAATGTCTCCATTTAAATTATTACTGTATTGCATCTACACAGTCAAGATCTGAATGCAAAGCTGATTTAATGATGAACATTGAATAATGTGCAGCCACTGGTTTATGGTACCTCCCATTCAGGGTTAGATGGTCATGAGTCACAACACAGCTTCACTAGCACAAGACTCATGCTGCTCAAGAGCAAGGTCCTTACTAATGCTCACATAAGTTATAAAAATAAATTACCTCTGACAGATAAATTGCTGACAAATAATGAATATTCAAATACAGTTATCACTGGAAGTTTTCCTCATCTGAAATTTCGGGTTTTACTTTGCATTATTAACAGTCTTTGTACTCTCATGAAAACTTTATTTGAGCTTTTGGAAGGGGCTTTAGTTTTAAATCCACTCTTTGTTCTAAATCAAACTAGCTTAACAAACTCTTAGCAGAATTCCAATCGACACTATGTTCTTTTGCCTTCAGCAGTGAATTTTTTTAGTATCCTCAAAGATAATTTCAAATTGCTACACGGTTGCAAAATTATTGTTCTTGTTTTAAGCATTTCTAGCTATTCTGCTCGAGCTTGTGCCTCATGCTGAGGGATACATTTCTTGCGATAGGGTTAGGATTAGCATTGCTAACCACCCTTCACTACAGCATTTAACCTTCATGAGTAAACTAGACAGTGAGTGCTAAATCTTGTTCATAGGTCCATGGTTTCTCTGGTTTTGTATAATCTGAGGTTTGAAAATTCCTATGAGCATCTTAACGCCCAACAGAAGGGGTTGAGATCTCAAGAAAGCCCCCAACACAGGTTCCGAACACCAGATCGAAATTCAGGACTTGAGTTTAACAATCTAAGCCACTGTGATGTGCAGTTTAGAAGCAATACCACACTGCTGCAAGTGCTAACTTTTGGATGAATCATTAAACTGAGAACTACAACTGCCCTTATACATGTATGTAGAAGTATTGCAAGCAGTGAGGTTTTTTTTGGCCAATATTTATCCCTGAATCAAGAGCACAAAACAAAGTAGCACCCAGGGTTAGCTTTGTGCAAATTGGCTGCCAAGCTCTTTATGCTGAAAACCATAACTAACTTAAATGGTACTTCTTCAAGGTACTTCATTGGTTTATGAGTGTTTTGGGATGAATGGTGAAAGTCAGTAAATAAATGCAAATACTGTCTCAAAAAAAAAAGTCCTGATCCTTCAGAGCTGTGTCATTTAATTATCTCAGGTTCATTGTTAGCCAATAAGTTGAGGTTGTAACCAGTACATTTCATGAAAGTGAACTTGTTTTTCCACTGTTTCTTCAATATGTGGCTGGGACCTATGCCAGGAATATTAACTTCTGGTTGATATTCCATGAGGATGGGCTGTATAAATTTTGGCTGGGTGTTTCTGACCTCCTACATGCGAATTGCATGAGCCATTATGTTCACAAAGCAATCATTAATCAGAATCTGTTAGACACAGATGACACAGGCATGATCCTCCACAGGAAAAAAAATAAATATCTTATTTCAAGCAAGGTAGCTTCAGAAGTATACATTTATTTTTTAAAAAGTCTATTCTTTAAACAAACTGAGAAATAAAACAGTTATGAAGATCATAGATTATCCAGCTGTTGTTGGGAAAGTAAATAAAAGAAGGACATTTAAAAAAAGCTTAACACAATGAAATAAAGTCAATGTGGTTTTGTGAAAGAGAAATCATGTTTGAACAATGTGCTAGTATTATCTGAGGATTTAACAAGCAGAATTGATAAAGGAGATCTGTTACATGTAGAGTATTTCATTTTCCAGAAGACATTTCAAAAGGTGCCATATAATGGTTTATTGCATAAATTAGGACCTCTGAATATTTTGGTGTCATGTATTGGTATGGATTGAGGATTGGTTAACACACAGAAGTCAGAGAGTTAGGATCAGTGGACTTTTTTTTTCAGAAAACCATAAGTAGTGGATTCTCATGATGATCAGTCCCATGTCTTTCATCACTTGTTATCTATATGAATGGCTTGGATGAGCAGGCAGAATGCAATCTATCCAAGTTTGCTGGTAAAACAAAAAACAATGTGAACAGCATGTTGTAATGAGAATATGAGGAATCTGCAATGACATATAGATAAATTTAGTCATGGATGTAACTTGGCACCTGGATTTAAGTGTAGCAAAGTGTCAAGTTATGCATTTGGGTACATGGAAAGATCAAAAGGCGTACTATTATTTAAAGACTACAAAGAATTGCAGCACAGAAGGATCTGAGTGTTCTTATGCATGAAACACACACTGTTAGTATGCAGATGGTTTTTGAGAAGGCACATAGAATTTTGGTGTTTATTGTAAGGAGTTTGGAGTTTAAAAATAGGTAAGTCTTGTTACAACTGTACAGGATTTGGTGATGTTACACATAGAGTACTGTGTAGAGTTTTTGTCACTGCACTGGCACTGGAGAAGTTCAACACAAATTCACTAGGCTGATTCTTGGGAAGAAGGGGTTGTTTTATCAAGAGTGACTAAACAAATGAAGCCTTTATTCATTAGAAATTACAAGAATGAGGGATGATCTTATTGAAAGAGACATGATTCGGAGGGGACAAAAACCTGAAGTTGCTGGAAAAGCTTAGCAGGTCTGGCAGCATCTGTGAAGAAAAATCAGAGTTAACATTTCAGGTCTGGTGACCCTTCCTCAGAACTCAGTTCTGACGAAAGGGTCACCAGACCCAAAACATTAACTCTGATTTTTCTTCACAGATGCTGCCAGACTTGCTGAGCTTTTCCAGCAACTTCTGTTTTTGTTCCTGATTTATAGCATCCAGTTCTTTTGGTTTTTATTTAAGATTTTGAGGGAATTTAACAGAGCAGATGTTTCCATGAGGGGCAAATCTTGAACGAGGGGACATAGTTACAGGATAAGGAGACATCAATTCATATATTTCTCAGTTCAAAATGAAAGGAAAAGTGGAAAAACAAGTTCATCTTCATGAAGGAGACCCAAATGAATTGAATTCTGCATTGGGCCTCCAGATTATATCAAATCTTAAATAGAATCATAAAATCCCTACAATGTGGGGCCTACATTTAGCCCATCAAATCTGTACTGACCCTCCAAAGAGCAACCCACTCAGACCCAGTCCCTTTACCCCATCCTTGTAACCCTGCATTTACCATGGCCAATCCACCTAACCTGAGTATCTTTGGACTGTGGGAAGAAACCAGAGCACCTGTCAGAAACCTATGCAGAACGTGCAAACTCCACACAGTTCACTGAGATCTACTGTACAAAATAGTCCATCAACTTTCCCCTGACAGGAAAAATTCTGGAAGCAGTGGCTGCAGCCAAAATGCATCAATACCTTTGCTAGATCCTGGACTCAGGAGAGGGTGAGGTGTTGTTTGCAGGGAGGAAGTCAAGGAAGGGGAAACAAAGATGTCAGAGGAAAGGACTGGGGGAGAGGCTGTGGTGACTTTCAGCAACCCCTCAAACCTTTCCTAATTCTCGGATTTGGAGTACCTGGCAATAAGGCACTTGGTGGGCTGGATTCCAGAAGCACAGAAAACCATGTCACTCTCTTTTAATCCCTGAACCCTATTAAATTCCTGTAGGCATCATGAATGAATGATGCAAGTTAGCTCATCAATAAGCCTAACTGACATCCAGCTGTAAGTAAGTGAGCAAGTTTCCTGGATGGGCCCTTACAGCTTTCAAATTACTTGCACGCAGTTTTCTCAGAGAATAAAGAAGAAACGTAGTCACAGGAAAATTGCAGCAGGTGGAATTTTATTTCTTTAAAGAGAATCGTGCCACTACATCAGGATTGGAGATCACTTACAATTCGAAAGTAAGTCATAGTTGAAGAATGTCAGTCTCAAACAACGTCAGCATGACTGGGGTTGTGAATGTCAGCTGAGGAGCAAGTTTGCGATCACTCATCATGATGCAGCTGACTAGCGAGTAGGCTTCGGCCATGTATTGGGAACTGCAGACTGGAACTTTTTCAAAATAGATTTTTTTTTATCATGAAAGCAAAATTTGGGCCACTGTTGTAACTGAATGTGTTCATCCTAATTGAACATGACAATATTCAGTGTTGAACGCTTCATATTTATTCTTCATTAATTCTGAATGGAGAAATTGTAAGCCACACATTAGAACCAACAATCAAGTA